ACTAACCACATTTATACCAAAAAGGAAAACAAAGGTGATCTAAAAAAAAAATTTAAAGGCGATTATAACCAACTGCTTAAGATGGGGTTATGGTTATACATAGGTTCTGCTCAATAATATTTCTTACTAATTTCCAATTATTAAATTTCAGCAAGATACTAACACACAAATAATCGATAATTTACTTAAGTGTTCACAATTGATTGAATCAAATAAGATGTATTTTATATGTGCTTCAATTTGTCATGTGTAAAAATCATTAAATTGTAATTGTTTATATGTATATGTATCTGAATATGTATATATTTATTAATATATACGTATATTTATACATATATGTAATTTGTATTATTTAAATTAGTATTAGATATATTATATTTAACAATGAATAACATAAAATGTGATTCACAGCTCTGTCTTATTGATAACATTGAAACTCACAATTCACCAAATCAAGAATAACATTACACGTTAAATATTATTACAGTATTACTAACAAATCAACAATATTATACTTATATACATTATTTTATTTATATTAACCGAATTTGTGTTTCTCAAACAGGCAGAGCTGTTACTAACAATATCAAATTAGCCTTTCGTTAGGCTTTCTGCTATAAAAAAATTATAGATATTTAAACCAACTACCAATTTTTAAGTCATTTGTTCCATTATAGTAAGTTCAACTCGGATTTCAAAATACCCAGCTGTAAGTCTGTAAATACTTGTATATTGACACCCTAAAAGTTGTCTCAAAAAACCTACATATGGAAGGGTGTACGTACCATATGTAGGTTTTGAGACAACTTTTAGGTTGTCAATATACAAGTATTTACAGGCTTACAGCTGGGTATCTCCAATTCCGAGATTCTTACCTAATTTAAGCTTCAATGACTGGACTGTAAGGACTTTTTCTAATTTGAGACTACTTTATTTAAATTGAGTATATAATGAGAACACCAGTTTTGTTCCTTCAGGTTTTTGATGAGATTACGTGAAAATGTAGTTTGATAAAAGTAATTTATTGGGGACAATTCTGCGGTACATAGGCGATAACATAGCAACGCTAGCTTATCTTTTTTTCTTGTTACTAAAAACTGTGCAAATGTTATGTATTTGCTCTACGAACGGTCGTTTTACACATAAAACTGTTTGTTATAAATGCAGTTTATAACATTCTTTCTTGGTTTGTTTATATGTAAAATACGCCTGATTGCACAGCGAATACATAGCAGTTTCAGTTTTTAGTACCAAGAAAGAAGGATAAGATAGTGTTGCCATAAGAACCCTAAGTTATCATCTATGTTGCCGCAGCATTGGCCCCTTAATTTGAATTAACTAATTATTAAATTGGCATTAGTCTGCGGATGTAATCTCGTGATAATATTAATAAAGATGTGAAATATTTTATTTAGGATATATTAAAAGATCTAATAAATGAATTTTCAAAAATATTTTTAAAAATACTGCTATGCATGAGGCAATAAAATGAGGGAATTCGAATACGAAATAAATTGAAAATACAATTTTTTTTATTAATTCTGGTCATCATGGAGTGTATTAAAGATATGACACAATGATTTAAATTGGTCTTTTGGTGATTTCGTTAATTCCTATTTAATTCATTTATGATCAGATTTTTAAAATTTTAAAATGTTTATTGGTCCAATAATATAGCAGATTGCCTTTCGATGTTGGCAGCAACACTCGACACTAACAAACACTATTCTGTTTCCGTTCTTTGTGCTGCGTCTCTCACGAGTAGAGCAAGGAGGCTGGGATCCGAACTCTGGTCGCACTGGACGACCAGGGAGGTGAGTCCTGGCTGGAAAATTCCTCATTCCGTCAACTCTCCATTACGAACCAACATTTATTAGCCTTATCCTCAATCATCCATTATTATTATTATAGTTGTTGAAGAATTTTGATTAAGTATTTGTTTAATATTATTGATAATCGTACTTATTTTGTTGACAAATGCCTTGTTATAATCATTTAATGATATTGAAACTAATTTAAATAGTTGATCGAATTTTCAATCAAATCGAACAATAACAAGCGCGTTCTTGCCATAATTCTCTTACCGATAAAGTTAATGTGAGACCATATTTTTGATATTTATTTTTGTTTAGAGTTACTGATATCCTTAATTTCTTCTTGGCAGATATTTCGGATGTTTATCAGATGTTTCATTCAATAAATAATCAAACTGATGAAATTGTATTAGCTGATCGAATTTTATGTTAACGTGTTCTTGCCACAATTCTGATATCGACTTGAAAGCTTTTTTCAAAATAATTTTGCTGTGTACTTCGATATGAAGACGCTTATTGTAATTTGTGAGACCATCTTTATGCTTTACTTGACGATCTAGTAAAAACTACAGTATTTCTTTAATTTAGTATAATACAGTAAATTATTTTATTTATGACTATTCAACATTTGTTGTCATTTTTTATTTTAAATTTTATTGTTTGCCTCCCAATTCGGTGCAATCTGGTACACCATATCAATCCCATTTTCCAAATATATGAATACATCATTTAAACTCTCTGCATTATGTAAATGTCACTCACTGTTTATTCACAAAATATTCAGCTACAAATCAATACTTCGGTGTCTGATGAAACAAATTGTTCAGAATTTTGTGATAATACCTGGTTTTAATTAGAAAAGTTTTAAGCTGAACAAGTTATTTAGTAGTAATCGATGTTCTGATCGAATTTGTTTGACCAGCTCCGATTTCACTACGAATAATCATTTCTCACATTTTCACCACATATAATATTTTCAAAAGTTTTCTATTTTGACTTTTTTATTCTTCTAGTGCACGGTTTTTCTGAACGAGCAAAAGCATGCTGTTTGCTTATAGCTTCTGTCTTTTTTCTTTCTTTCGTTCTGTAGTGCTACTGTATTGCTCTATTTCTATTCTTTCTGTTCTATTATATAATATTAGCATAATGTCGGATGACAGAGTAATAAATATTATTTATGGAGTGTAGGAAAACATATTTATCTCCATTGGATGAAAAAGACCAAAATTTAAAATATTGGTAAATTAGGTTAACTAGGTTATAAGAAATTTAGGTTATAAGGACGGCATTTTCAAATGGGAGTAAGTTATATACATAATTATATACATAATTTTTAATCGCAGAGCGAAGATGCCGGTCAAAAAACATTGGCCATGTTGGACCATCAAGGGGGTAAGAGCAAATTTCAAAGTTCAAGCTTTATATCGATAAAAAAGCTTGGTTATGAGATTTACTAATAACTAATCAAGGGGTGGTAGAATAACAGCTTTTTAGTTTCAGCATTGATTTTACTTGTTATAGTTTGGAAAAGGAATTGGCAGGAAAGCTTTAATAACAAATTAAAAATATACTTAATTAAATAATAGGCATATAGTCAAACTTTGAAAGTATTACCTTGCTACAGATTGAACCTCTAATACTCTAATACTCTAATAATTTCATTTTGTTTATTTTTTTGTTTTCGTAGAACTAATAACAAAACTATATTTGTAACTAACCAATTGATCACTTGCGCTATATAGAAAATTAATATAGATTTAAATTCTGCTAATTTTGAAATATAAAAATATATTAATAGAAAATACAATACACCAAGTATAAAGAGATTAATGGTAGGCCCCTATTTTCATAACGCCTGAGCTTTATGGGCCAATTCTCCGGTAAACTAGGCCGTTGTTATGGCAACGCTAGGTTACGCTTGTTTCTCATAGACCTTATTTACATGGACTGCTAGTCGAGCGCAAAATAAGTTCTCAAAGATAGATGAGTATGTGACGTCACATGTCCAAGCGAACACAGTCGACGACAATCGCGGACTCTCCCGATTGATTAAATGTCATATTTCATATGTTTCATAATGGCAGTTGTGATGGCTGATAACTTTTCTAAGAAATCATATTAATAATATTTATCTTAATAGTTAATTTAATTCAAATATTATCTGTGATAGTTTTATTTCAATAATATAATGGCAATTGTAATCGCTGATAATTTTGTAAGAAATGATATTGATATTTCCCCTGTGAAATAAATGTACATAAAATCGAATCATCCTGTTAAAATTGGTTTATATGTATATTATAAGGCGAGTCATATGTAACACGTGACATGACATTTGATCAATCGGTAGAGTCCGCGATTGTCGTCGGCAACAATCGCTCAGACATATGATGTTACATACCTATCTATGTTTGAGCACTATGTACAATGGAAAACATAGAAAACTAGCAGTCCATGTAGTGTAATGTCTATCTTGTTTCTTCATAAAAATTCGCAGTAAAAATTGTCAAAATGCTATGTTTTTACTCTGCCATTAGGCGTTTTAGACATAAAATCTAATTTCATGCATATATTATTATGACACATCATAAAGATGCAGTTATGATAACATTCATTTTTTGACGTTAATACGTTTTCTAAGTTGGATTTTATATCTAAAACGCCTGATAGCGCATCAAATTAGCTTTCTATGAAGAAAATGCATTAATTTTTATGAAGGAAGAATCGTAACATAACGTTGCCATAACAACGCTACGTCATAGTCTATTTTACAAGAGAATTGGCTCATAAAGCTCAGGCGTTATAAAAATGTTATTTAAAGTTTATCGAGTTTTAGATAGAATTACTGCGTTTGTGAACATTTCTAGGTATAATTAAATCAATTATAAAAAAAATTATCAATAGGGATTACTTAAAATGCATTTGAAAAAAAATGAATAGTTGAAATTATATATAGGGTTGTAGTACTAGAGATTGGTACCCGTTGTTTATTACTTTGTTTGAAATATATAATTACTGTTATTTTACGAATAATTTGATTTAATAATCTATTACAAGCGGGTGCTGGTCTTTCCAAGTTATGATTAATTATTATAACCATGAATTGTAAAAGTAAAAACAATGTAGAATCAAATCAGAAGTTGAATCGATTCAAGCGGATGGCCTGCGTTTCTGTTTCATTTTCAGAGTCACGAGGTTGGAATGAAGACTTTGGTGATGCTGGATGAACAAGGCGGTAAGCCAAAAAAAAAGATCAGAAAACAATATATCTACAAATACAAGACAATTTTATTACTAAAATTAATATTATGCCGGAACACATGAAACGATGCCTAACTAAAAGAACCAACCGTTGTTAATTCAATGTAGTGAAAAAAGTTTTTATGAGCATACTTGAAATATTGGAAGTCGTATTGCAATTCAGGAGTTGTTCTGAAGCCCTTGATCATTTTATTACTTTTTATACAGCATTTGACTGATGTTTTTCTAATATGAATATATTAAAAATGGACTGTTCGTAGAAAATGTACCAAGAAAGACATTATTTCGTTGCCATCATCATTCCCTTCCAAGTGCCTCCATGCCTTTAAACGATGCCCTTTACGAAACGGGACGTTGAAAACATTTATTCCATACTTGATCAATATAACATTACCAGATATAGCATTGATTCTAATAATTTAAATTATTGTTACGTCATTTTTAAATCCTTTTCTTTAAATGAATATTTGTTTAACGTGCATTTTTTTAAATCTCTCCAAATTAAATACTTTAATATGTTATTTTGATTACATCATATTTTATTTTGTTTATGATTCTTGATCTATATTGCTAATAAGAACAATTCAAAAGTGCTGGAAATTTTTGAACTGTGGGGGCACTAGCTCTTCCACTATCAGATAACCACAGAGGAGCAACAACCACCTCCCTACTAGAAACCCTAGTAGTTTATTTATTAGTAATACATATCCATTTTATTAGTAATACATATCCATTGTTTAAAAAAACAACAAAACAGAAATACAAAACCCATCTAAATTGATCGTTCAAGCTTTATAGAATTATTTAAAGCGATATAAAGATGATCTGGGGCTTCTGAACTATCCATCAAGGCAAAAACATTGATTTACATTTGTCTTCTAAAATCGTTTTTTCATTACAATTGTTAAATTCACTGCGGTCGGTTCTACTTATTTTTTATAGTTTATAAAAAAAGTCGCCACAATATAAAAACTCACTCTATTTGAAAAATATATACCCTTTAAATTAAATTGTAATGTAAACGTGAGACGTATATAGGAGTTTAAAATATTTCTTCAAGATTAGGAATCTTGATCAGTACAAAAAACTGTTGTACCTAACCATAGATTTAATAAGGTTTATGACAAGTATATAATGAGAAAACACGCCTCAAAGTAGTATTACATACATAACAAAATCACATCAAAAAGGTTTGCTGAAAGCATGCTATATTTTTTTCACTGTTTATTTTATACTGACAAAAATATTTTAGATGAATTATTGTTCTCACTTGCTCACGCATGTCACTAACATATTCACAGTATAGATTTCGCATATAGTAATTTGAAATCATTATTCGCAAGTTTACAAGCACTTTTAACCACTTAGTTTTTTAATATAATCTTTTCTTTGAGATTTGATATCTGCCAGAAAACAAATCCACAAAAAATTATTGCACATTTATTGGTACAGCTATAAAAGAATTTTTAGAATCGTTACAATTTAATTGCAGAAGTACTAGTAAGCTAAAAGCTTTTTGAATTATCATTATACGTTAACATGAACTCAAGTTATCAAAATATTTTCCACTAACGTGATGATTTTATTTATATATTTAATATAACAATATGAAAAATATAAGTTTTAATTTTATTAATGAATCTATCTAATCTTACTTACATGAAGTGTTAAACTAATTAGTTTTGTGGATTTGTATTCTAACTAAATCATACACAGAAAAGCTGTTGACAATTTTGCACATTGTACATGTGGTTAGTTAAATACAACTTTTACAAATATAATAAAAATAATCTGTTCAAATGATACTCCAAGAACTACTTATTAAGTAGGTACTACTTTGAATGAATTTGGTACTATTGCAAAGTTTTTTTTATGTCTTACCCATTCATGATTATTTAAAAATTGTTAACAGCTTTTACTAGTTCTATTACAAATTTTTATTATAATTGACGATCAGAAATATTAAGACTTTTGGAAAATGAGTAAATACCATTTCTAGAACAATTGGATCGCATCGAGGAGGGAATGGACCAGATAAACGCCGATATGCGTGAAGCGGAAAAGAATTTGACTGGAATGGAGAAATGCTGCGGAATATGCGTTTTACCTTGCAATAAGTAATTTTATTTTTAAAACATTTTTATCTGATCGCTAAACTAACAATGACTCTTTTGCACTTTATATTATTTTAAAGAAACTGCTTATAGGCGGAGAGCTACTGAAACTTTTGATTAACAGTGTTTTTGTAAGGCTACAAAATTTGTACTGGTGGTTCTTAGCATGCGAAGTACGAAAACCATCGCCTGGCGGGTTTCAGCCCTACACATCATCATCAATTAGGAGTTCGAAAATGCAAAACAATAACTTGTTTTTGTAAGCTTCAAATTTTTATACGATTTATTTATATATTGAGAAGTTCAAACATAAAACTGCCTGGTATTTCAACCTGCACAAGTACCTGCCAGGCGAGCCAAAAAGTTTACTTTTATGAGCAAAATGTATATGCATTATATTTTTTGGTATGTGGTATATTTTTTGGTATATGGTTCTTGGTGCTCTTTTGGTTGGAGTATAGGCCACCTGGCAGCTGGAAGTGGTTGCGTTTAGTAGTACGCAGCCAACTTGAACCGTGCGATTTCAAAATTTTGAAAGCATGTAGTCAGTCCAATTTTCATTTTTTGACTTTGAATAGGTACATCAGACTCACATTTTTTGATGGCAGACATTTTTGGCGCTGCTCATAATAATTTTGTTTAAGCAATCAGGCATGCGACCCTTCCACACTAGGGCAATAAATTTGGCATGTATTGTTCCAGAGAAAAGTAATTAAGGGATAACAGTTTGATATTTAAAAGAATCATTAAACTCATCAATCCAACACAAATCAATTGATTCTTACTTTTCACTTATAATATACATTCGGTGATGCATAAAGCCTGCATATCATGAAGAATATGATTTTTTTTTTTAACTTTTCAAATCGCAATTTGTCAGGAATGGTGGTTCTAATAAAAATGGTATAAACACAATTTTGCAGAGAAGTTTATAATAAATATCTCTGTCTAACAAAGTTTCTTGATTTTTCTTATGGTTTTCTGGTTAGTACACGTAATGTGCTCTTGTGAGTATAATCGTTTTTAGTTTTATTTACACCAATGTATTTGGCGCTCTGTCTACTACTATCATATTACCAGACTTTTTCCATTGCCAGATATGCTTAACAGCCACAGAAACGTCTCGCAAATTAATTTTATGTTTTTTCACCCTTAATGAATATAATATTAAAATTACAGACAGACTAAAATAATTTTAATTTAAATAAAAATTAATAAATAAAGTCTGGCACATATTTAGCAGCGCCAAAAATGTCTGGTAAACCTATTCAAAGTAAAAAAAAATAAAAATTGGACCGACTAAAATGCCTTCAAAATTTTGAAATCGCGCTGTACAAGTTGGCTGCACACTAATAAACGCGACCATTTCCAGCTGCCAGACGAACCAGACTCTAACCAAAAGACCACCAAGGATCACATACCAAAAAATCGGCCTGCCTAAAGTTCTTGTTTTGAGGGTTTGTGCGGTGCCCTTTAAAAGGTTGCGTAACATTTAAATTATGATAAAAAAATAAAGAGTGGCGACATACCTGATGATAAATATTAATTTAAAAAGTATAGTGTATATTTTGTTGTGGGCTCGCCCGTAGGTGAGGGGTTAAGAGTGACGGGACTTGTTTCAGAAGTCCCGGGTTCGATACCCACTTCGACATGGAAATGTAGATAGCAATATGTTTCCAAGTGAAAATAGCCCTCACCCGGCATTGTTGCACCATTAAAAATACTCGCTCTATTACAGAAATTGTAATAATATATATCATACAGAGATGTGGCAACTGATTGGGTTGCCATCTGTCAAACAGACTAGTATTAAGTCAAAATCAGCACAACAGCTTATAGGACTATGAGGTTCTGATTGCTGTTCAAAAATTAAAAAAAAAATATTATTATTATTATAAATTATTACTCAAATTAATGTTGACCGTATTTTTTTTACTTGTTTACATATCATTTATATGCTTTCACGTTACGCCTATAAGATTACTTGTACTTCCGATATAGCATCTTTCCCTTGGCCTGGTAAGGGCTTAGGATGGACAGAATCGGCAGTCATTGCAAACACCTTTTTAAAATCGCTTTGACAAACAGATATTTAAATTTTAACCTTATAGAACAATACACCTTGCTCATAAAAGTGAACCTTTTAACTCGACGCCTTGCAGTCTTGTGCAGGTTGAATTTGCCAGGCAATTTGATATTTTAACTTCTGAATGAATAAATAAAATTGTATAGAAATTTTAAGCTTACAGGACAAGTTTGATTTCCTTTTTTTTGCATTTTCAAAATCATGGTTGATGATGGTGTGCAGGACTGAAACTTGCTAAGCGATGGTTTTCGAACTTAGTATGCTAAGAATCATCAATCAGCAGAACAAATTTTTTTAGCCATAGTGGAATACCATTATCCACAAAGTTCAGCTCTTGCTCCATTATAATTATACAAGATACGCACAAAAAATAATGTCACTATTCCAAGTTATAAGCGCAACATGCATTTGAATATCGATTCACAGATACAACCTGTAAATCTGTGAAGCCTGTTATGTACGTAGCATACTTGATTTGTTTTTTACAGACAGAAAGTTTAACGCTTGACCATTGCCTTAGAAATAACAAATGTAAACCCCTCTTTTAAAATACACTTCGTACCATTATACAAAACGCCCAATATTTAGATTATACTTTGGCAACATTTTGCTCACACGTCCATTTTATATTAATGTTTCTTCTGAAAGTTGGAATAGTTGATATGTTTATTAATATTTGACTATTTTAGAGGAGCATCATTTAAAGAAGATGAAGGCACTTGGAAGGGAAATGATGATGGCAAAGTTGTTAACAATCAACCTCAAAGAGTTATGGACGACCGCAATGGTTTGGGACCACAAGCTGGTTATATTGGTGAGTTTGCTGTTTTGAAAATCTTCTGATTTATACCTCGTAGTGAACATTAATTAACATTAATTTATTTATTAATCTTCCATTTATTGCAGTTTGATTTGTTCAAATCCAAAGAACTGTATATCTAATATAAAGATCATGTATATTTATATACTCGTATGATACATATATAAATTTAATCACTTATTAGGCCTATTATATAGCTATTATACAGCTATCACTCATGAGCTTAGCCTATTATTGGTTCGATTAAGCTATTCTTTATGTTACGTAGTTATAGAATTTATTAAAACTCTCCTTAGATAATTCAGATTGTTGGGTTATAATTTAACCCTTGTAGCTGTGGACTGTATTAAACACTGATTTGTTTGTATATTATGTATTTGTTGCAGTTCTAATTACAATCACTGACTTGTTATTAAGTTATAATGAAAGAAGGTATATTTATTTTTATTGGTTATTTACATGTTGTTAAGCGGACTTTACTTTTAGAAGTGAACACCTGGTTCAATTAAAACACTCCGCTACCCCCTCTACCAGGGGTAGTAACCATTCCGTGTATAGCTGAAGTTTGTCACCTTCATGGCCAGTATAATAAAACTAGCGACTAGCGAAATTAGTTCCGTTTAACGTGGATTTTCTATCTTTTAATGGACACCATCTTTCTCTTCTTTTTATACCGTTTGTACAAAATCTTCTCGTCAAACTTATTCTTGCACTGTTTTTCACATAAATTATATATTTAAATATTTGGATTCATCTAGAAGAGTAAATTTATTTAATAAATTCATCATGATGAATTCTGCATCTGCATATCTGCATTGAATATTTCCATTTTAATATTGATCTCGCCTTAATCTCACCAAAATTCATGCAGGACAATCGCAATCCGAATTCAAATTTGATTACATTTTATATGTTTAATTCTGTCATGCAAGAAATTATTTGCACAGTTAATGGAATAAACAAATCTTACTTAAATGAACTATGCCAATTTATTCTATCAAAGTAAAACAACATATTTAATGTTCAAATCGTATATTTTATTTTATTTTTTATGAATTACAGGAAGAATAACGAATGATGCTCGAGAGGATGAAATGGAAGACAATATGGGTCAAGTCAACACGATGATTGGAAACTTGCGGAACATGGCCATTGACATGGGATCAGAATTGGAGAACCAGAATAGGCAAATTGACCGCGTCAACCGCAAGGTAACGTTAACATATCAAAATTGTGCACGGTTCTTAAAATTCGTAGCAATATAAAAATATTTTAATAAAACAATATATACAGTAACTTTTGAAGTAATATATATGGAGAGTAATCTCGTTTTTACTGAATTTGAATACAATGAATGCTATATGTGGATAACTAACTAACATCTGAAATGGCCGTTAGCAATTGAATGTGATCTCACGAGCTATTAGGTTGGCAACTAAGTAAATGCGGTTTCAGCTCAGATGGTTTCAATTGAATTTTCAGGTTTTCTGGCGTCCAAAATGTAAAATACCCTTTGTTAATAGATAGTAGGTAATTTAGATGTTCATCAGCAAAAAACAATTTTTTGATCTATTGCGTAGTTTTTATTCGGCGTTCGTTGAAAGATGGAAAAACAAATTGATTTTTTTGTCAATTTTGTTTTTTTATTCTGCAAAGTCAAAAAGGCATTTTACGCCCACAAAAATTTATGAGCAGCTTATGGTGACAAAGCATTTAAAAAAACGGCAGTGTCAAATTTGGTTTGCCAATTTTCGTTCTGGAGTTGATTATAAAGAAATTGTCTATTACTACTCTTACCATCCAATCGAACGATCATTTTTTACATAGAATAACTAACAGAAATTACAACGCAGTCGAAGAAAACGGCCTAAATTGACAAATCTATACGGTGATTTATTCCATTATTGACATCACATAAATTTGGCCACTCGTCAAAAGTTATTGGAGCTTGGTTGTAATGTTTTGCCATATCCACCATACAGTACTGTTTCGATCTTTACAAAACTTCTTGAATTGTAAATACAGTGGTACCACACCTTAGCTTAGGAGCTTAATTCGTTCCGAAACCAGCCTCGTGTGTCGAATTTCTCGTATCTCGAAGCATGTTTTTTTTTCTCCCGCTGATTATCTTGCAAAAATAAATTAGACATGTTTTGTCAATCAATTCTGAATTTCTGATACTCTACCATTTGCTTTTTTTTCGGGGAGATATTTATCCACAAACAATTCAACTTTGTCCGATATTGTACGAACAAATGCACAAGATTAATATTATGAATTGAATTTTTTAACTTTAAAATGATTTATTTTAAATATTCGTATGATGGTTAAATGCGACTTCATATACGAGAATCTTTGTTACCATTGATGAAATATTGACCTGTTTCATTCGCACCTTCTCGAATAGGAAATAGGAGCGATTTGTTGCTTTGTGATACTCCTTTGGCGTCTCGTATCTCGAAAATCTCGTATGACGAGTCGCTCGTATGGCGGGGTACCGCTGTTGTTTAATGATAATAATGGTGTCAAATTGCTGTTAAAAACTAGAAGTTCTATGAAAGTAGGATAATGATGCTTGAAAGATGACAAAAAGTCATTGATCAAAATGGACAACGCATCGCATAATAAAGTTATTTAGTTCCATCAAAAAATGCCTGATTTTTTAATGAAAATCCGCACTTACTTAGTTGCCATAATAACATGATATTTATAATAATAAGCTTTCTAGAATGTACTGAGCCTTTCTCTGATTAGAGTATCATTTATAGAAGGGCATCAATGAAAAGCTGCTGCAAAGAAACTTGATATTTTTGTACAAAACTGCTGAGAGAGATTACTTTCCACTTTCATGATAATTTGTTATTTTTGTGATTATTACTAATGAATATTTTATTCAATCCCAATGCTATCGATAATTAGGGAGAATCAAACGAGACGAGGATAGCAGTTGCTAATCAGCGAGCACATGATCTGCTCAAGTAAAAACTTGAAAACTCCAAAATGTCGATTAACGAGGATTTTATTCATTTCATTGTGATCTTAATTTGGCATAATATATATAATCGTTATTAGTTTTTTAGGGAAATCGGACGTTTCGGATGATAAATTCATATTAGAAATTTTATTCTTACATTCAACTATATATTCCATTAGTAAAGAAGAAACAATTTATAAATTATTTAATTTAATTTACGCCATATGTGCTATATTTGATCATTGTTCGAAATTATAATCATTATTTTGGATATGATGTCAACAAATATCTTTCAAACATATCTACAAATTGTATGCCGGTGGAAAAAAAATTGAAGTTCGACGTGGAATAGTCGTAAACGCACAATTTGTACTAATTTGAAATTATATTTATTATTCATTTTACTATTTTGCCAAACAAATTTTCAAAATAATGTTGCTAAATAAGTTTAAAATATACATTTTGTATAAGGGTCACACACACCCAAAATAAAATAGTATTTTTTGTTTTCTTTTCTAATTGTAGCTGATTTAAAAAAAAATCAAAATCATCGCGAATTATCCTACATTGGTATAATTATCATATGCTTAATATTCAAAATTAATTGCTAATCGAAGATATCAATGAGAACATTGCCAATTTATATATAGAATTCGACATCCTATTCAAATTTGCTTTTAAAATGTATTTTCAAAACTTGCGAAACGTCCGAAGCCGTCCAGAGTAAAATTATTTTGCTTGTTACTTACAAATTTAGTTAAATTTTAATTTACCTTCTTGTAAATAAACACAAGGTGCGTATAAGAAAGATGATATCATATTAGGACTGAGACGGTACTAATTTTTATAAAATTATATCCCGTTATTATTATTTTTACTTTATGTTTTTTTAATTTATTGATTTAGCAAAATTATTATTTATTTTATTTCCAATTAAATAAAAGGGCAAAGACAACGAATGGCGTGTGGCTGATGCAAGAAAAAGAACCGACGAGTTACTCAAATCATGATAAGGATGATTTTGATCATGATCAGCAATTTATAGTGAAGACGATAATTCAGGCCCAAATTTTTCATCTGCTTTTACGAATAAGGTTTGTTTATGATAATATTTGATAATATTATTGCTAATGCAAGATAATTACTTCAAATAATATATAATATATATTTCACAAAGTCACGTAGATTTCCCGATTGTAAAATAAAAATGTGATATACATATATTATATAGAAAAATATGTGAAAATAACGTTGTTTATTGTGTTGTTAAATTGTTTGGTCAGTTTGAGATGTCGGAAAATGGTTTTTCGTATGTAGTTGCTGTGGTGACGTTTATGAGTAATAGTCAATAAAAGAAATTAATCCAATTCAACTCTAGCGATGTTAATAAAATTTGAACCTTTGTTTTGTGGACGTTTGTGCTGTAATGTTTTACACAATACTAGCCTTAAATATTAAATGTTTTTAAATCCTCAGTTCTCAATAAAATAGAATTTGACACGTGAGATATAACTTAGTTGCATCCGTGAAGAATAATTCGAAGAAAATAGAGGACTTATGTGCGCATGGTCTTCGTCTTAAGGGACACACCTAGTGTGACAACCTAAAAAAATGCCATTTATAGGAATTAAAAAAAAAAGAAAACTAGTGAATCCATCTACTTAAAATTTTGAGGGTATATTTATACATGAGAATACACAGTAATATTTTTGAATTAATATATTAAATATTTTTGAAATGACACGCAATCTCCGGCGGCGCCAAAGAAAAAAGGTCCTCCACTGCTGCAGTGATTGCAGCCTCCTGCATTGATAAAACACAAAAAAAAATCCTTAAACTGAAACATATTGTCTGTACGATGACCCTCGGGCGAATAAAAAAATCAAAAATTGACAAAACGTCGGCATGCCGAAAATAAGTTAAATTTTTCCCAAAATTTTGGTCGTTTTTGGCCTGCCAAAGTTCGATTTTTGATCAGATCAAAAAACTGGAGGGTCATCGTATGGACCCTATAGAAATATGGAAAAAATCAAAATTCGATTATTTGAAAATTTCGCACTAGGTGTGCCCCTTAAATCGCAAAGTTGTTACATATTTTCTAAATATGTATATATGTACAGTAGAAGTCCTTTTATCCGGATTGCTCGGGACCGACGCTTGTGTCGGACTATCGGGTGGTAATTATGAAAACAATTAGGTTAATAATTTAACTACAAAATCAGTTAGAAATACATTTTACAAAGCTTATTTGACATTTATTAGAATATATATTTAAAATATTTGATTAACAAAAAAACATTTTTATTTTTTACAAAAACATTGATTTCTAGCCGTTGGGTTTCTAGTTTCTGATTAAGATTTAACGTTACGTGTTCTCGTTTCTTTGCTTTTGGATACCAAAACTTCAATTTTGAAAATATAGTCACTGCACAGATAGGCAATGATATATGTGTTTCAGTTTTTAAAAACCGGCCGAATCCTTCGTAGAGAGTAGGGTCTACGTATTTCGTAGAACATACTTTGTTCATGAACCTAGACACAACGGAATTTAATACGGACACAACTATTACCGAACAATAGCGAGTTCTTCCGAATGATTCCGAACCACCCCGAAAACGTTCTAATAGCTCACGAGCGTTTTTATCAGCTATAAAGAGAATATATTTGACAAAAACGAAATTTAAAAGACTTCTACTGTATATATACATGAGTTATTGAATTTTAATTTCAAGTACAGAGGCCAGTTATCGGATAAAATATAATTGGTAATGCCATGTTACGGGTCCATAATCGTATGAGTTGGCAGTCACTATGTATTTGCTCTGCGATCAGGCGCTTTACACATGAAATCTAATCTCACGTATGTGTTATCAAAGACACATCAGTAAGATGCTCCTATGATAAATTGTTTTTAGACAATTGTTCGATTAGGAGGTTAGATTTTATGTGCAAAACTCCTAATCGCACAGCAAATACATAGTTTTTTTTTCATAGTTTGTGACTACCAACTCATACGATTTACAGACGCGTAACATAGGATTACCATATTTCGATTTTATCCAAGAATTAGCCCCACAATCGCAATATTTGAATTTAACAACATTATTGCGTTCTGAATATATTTGAAAATAATATTTTTTTTAACTCATTGTATTCTAAAACTTGAAAAAACGATCGTTTGAACTATAGCCAATTTGTTATGTATATTCGAATGTATTTTCTTCTCCCAAAAATTGTATGTAAATTAATTGTCGAATTCGCCAAATATTCTTAATTCGCAAATGCGTGGACTATAGAATTTTTTGAAAATACGTACATGTACTACATATTATTTTAAAGTTATCGGTTTCTATAACGTGCCCTTTTTGTGTGTGAAATTTACTTGAAATCTATTCAACTTTCGTTGTTAATAGCCGTATTCGATGTGCGAATTAAACAAACAGTGCCTACTAATCCCGAATGACATATACGATTCGGAAAAAGTACAAATCGTGAATTAAAAAAAAAGCAAAAGTTATATTTAATACACATAGCAATAAATCGATGAGTTAATGCGAAAATATTGTTATTGACGAACTTGTTACTTATAGAAAAAAGAAAAAGGGATCACATGTTAAAATTAAAAAATCGCGAATTGTAAAAATAACGTGAAGCCGATTCTAAAGACTGCTAAATGTATCGTGAATATAGAAATAATTTTGTTGTTCTCCAATGGTATATAGTAAAAGACACCAATTTGTGTATTTTATATATTTTCATTGTTATTATGTTGTCAAATTTTTTTAACATCGCTTATTTGTTATTCGAATATTTTCTGTGGAAGCATTTTTTTAGTGTAAATTTTTCAAGTATTGATTTGTACACATAAACGTCATTACAGCAAAATGTTTAAAGAAGTTCCAAGTAGGCGAAGTTGGAAGATGGAATTTTTAAGTTAATTTTTTTTTAGAATGCTCATACATTAAGAGATCTTCTGCGAAACTTTTATATTATTTCAATTACATCTATGATAAATATATTGTGTATTTGAACAAAAAAATTTCAAATTTCTGATAATTTGGCCGTTTAAGTCGGAGTTTTGTCTGCATATATGGAAATTTTTGAAATTTCTAGAGCGAGTTTTATTGTGCACTAATATTGTAAATATGAACACATAGAGAAGTTATATTTTTATGACAATAAAGAAATATTTTTAAAATTCAATCAGTTTCACTTGTTAAAAACAAATGTAGGAGTATGAATTCTCATTGTCATGGATTTTGAAACGTCTGAAGGAAAGTCGATAGATGATGGCTTTAAATCTGCACCAATGCTATTTTATTTACATTCTGTTTATTAATAATTTAAGAATAAATATTACATTTTGATATGATCTTACTGAATTCTCATTAATTGTGCAAAGGAACATTTTCATTAATTTAACAAAGGGCTCTTCAAGTAACATTGAAAGCATAATTTTCTTTCTATCCGGATAATCTCAGGATCTTTATAAAACAAACACTATTTATTTTATCTATCTATTAATTGAATAAATCCGAGGTAAAATTTAGTCTGTTTATTGTTAGCCTGATTCTATTTTGCCTAAATATATTGCTCGATTCTGCTCAACATTCACGAAGATGAGAATTCAAAGAAAATCTCTATACCTTTTTAAACATCAGAATAAATTCCATATATGTAGAACCGGTCATATGTAGAAAGTAACTTGAAAGTCATTAAATATAGAAAGAAAGCTTCATATTGTGCACAATCAATAAGACATATTCGATATGATAGCCACAAAAAAACAAAACTCAAGAAAATTATACTTAATACAATTATTAAACAAGAGTATACTAGAATTATTCAGTAGTATCACAAATATAAAGAATACAATATATATTTGAATAGTTTCGTAATGACTAAAATTAAATATTTCTCAGCATTACTATATAAAATATAGAGCGCATATTGATTGTATTGAGAGGCTGTTGAATTTATTTCGAGTAGAACGACTTCGGAGTTTGTCAGATTTTATTAACATATTTAATGCGACAGTTATGAAATAACTTAATTTTGTATTATACAACAATTCTACGACAATTGCTCAAATATATTTTATCCTTACTTTCAGTTTTCAATAAAATATAAATTTCTAGAATTTGCATTGCAAGTACTACTGTACATTTGTTATTCCGCAACGAACTCCGAATAAACATTGATATTTAAATAGATATATTATATAGGATTGGTTACTTATTTAGGAGCGTGATTGTTAATATTTTAAAAATGCTTCGGCTAGATTCATGTCATAAAAAATTTATTAAATATAATAAATATGTACATATGTTAAATAAACATCTTAATATATATATTACTAAAATATAGATCTGTAGTCTAAAGTATAGTTTGAAACTTCTATTATTGAAAACAAAATAAAATTTTGAATATAAGTGTCTATTGAATTTAAATCATTTCTTATTGATTGAAATGTAGTTCTTAAATATTGGCAAATCTTACAAAATATTAGCGAACGTTAATATGGAAAATACGCATTTTTAGTACATTTAAACATAATTAGCGTAATCATAATTTTTTGTATGGTTCTGCTAAGTTCTATAGCTATATATTTACTGCTTCAATTCTACTTAAACGTTATTAATCTAATAGGAGAAAAATTAACAAATTAGTATCGTAACTAGGTTGATTAAATTGTTTAAAAAACAACACATATCTCTTGGATCTATTGTGTCTTATTTTTTATACTTTAATAAATTAATTTCATTTGTATGTAATACGCAAAATATAAGAAAATTAAAAGCGTTAGCGATTTTAAATGTGCAAATTGCTTCAGAGCTGAAATTGTGAACAGCTTCTTAGGTGCTCATCATTATTAATCGGAACTATTTATACATAATTATTATCAACTAAAAGTTATATATTCGCAGAAATATTTTTAAAATAAAATTTATTCATAGATTCTGAATATAGAAAATCCGTTGAATACATTAATGATTATTTATAAGTTATTGAATTTATTAAGAAAACAAATAATTTCAATGTATTTTTTGCATGCAGATTAAAATCTATTTCCATTCGGGATATTTATATCTAGCTATGCATAGAAACTTTAATTTGTATTTAAACTATGTGGTATAGTTATTATTAATAAACATAATTTTAAAACAATGATCTTTATAAATAGTAGAT